TCCTCGGTCATAAGGGTTATTGCTCTCGATTGTACAGATAACTCCATCATTTTAAGTAAACCACACCAAAGACTTTGAACCGACTCGGTCAACCTAGTGGACGAGGCTATGAACCTCCATTTTAGATCAAACCCACAAAAGACTCTAAACTGACTCAGTCAACCTAGTGGACGGGGCTTTGAACCTCTATTTTAGGTCAACCCCGCCAAAGGCTCTGGACCAACTCGGTCAACCTAATAGACGGGGCTCAGAACCTCCATTTTAGGTCAACCCCGCCAAAGGCTCTAAACCGACTCGATCAAACTAATAGACGAGGCTCTGAACCTTCATTTTAGGTTAAGCCCTCCAAAGGCTCTGAATCGATCCGGTCAACCTAGTGTATGAGGCTCTAAACGTCCATTTTAGGTCAACTCTACCAAAGGATCTGAACTGACTCGGTCAACCTAGTGGACGGGGCTCTGAACCTCCATTTTAGGTCAACCCTACCAAAGGCTTTGAACTGACTCGGTCAACCTAGTGGACGAGGCTCTGAACCTCCATTTTAGGTCAACCCCACCAAAGGCTCTGAACCGACTCGGTCAACCTAGTGGATGAGGCCCTGAACCTCCATTTTAAGTTAACCCCACCAAAGGCTTTGAACCGACTCAGTCAACCTAGTGGACGGGGCTCTAAACCTTCATTTTACGTCAACCCCATCAAAGGCTCTTAACCGAATAGGTCATCCTATTGGAAGGGGCTCTGAACCTCATTTTTACGTCAACCTCACCAAAGACTCTAAACTGATTTGGTCAACCTAATGGATAAGGCTTTGAACATCAGGTCAACCTCGCGAAAGGCTCTGAACCAACTCAGTCAACCTAATGAACTAGGGCTCTAAACTGAACAGGTAACTCCCATTGTGGTAACTCCCATGCAAGAAAAACTTAACTCCAAACCATAATCATGTCAATACTAGAGCAATTGCGTAAAGTTCATCGAAGCCCGCATCAGTTATATTAACCTGACCCCAATGATTTGGGGCATGTTAAATCATTTGTTACTTTGTCAAAAATGATTTAAACAAGGTTCACCAAGAAGCGTAAAACCAACAAGCATGGTTTAAAAAAACTAAAATTTTAACTGAGGGTTATCATCTAAAATACTTTTTACGTTAATCAGACCTTTTGGCTTTTACCGAAGTCATAAGGGATATATCTGAAGTAGGCATAATAAGATGCTTAGCCAATTATATATATATATATATATATATATATATATATATATATATATATATATATATATATATATATATATATATATATATATATATATATATATATATATATATATATATATATATATATATATATATATATATATATATATATATATATATATATATATATATATATATATATATATATATATATATATATATATATATATATATATATATGACCTTTTTTGGTCTTGATCAACATAGTAAAATAGTGTCGGGCTTCTCTTGTCCGAGCACTTCAGTCCTATAAACCTCACGCCCAAGGGCTTATATATATCCCAGAATATTTTAGAATAAAATATTATAAAGCCGGTATATATTTAAAAGCAAAAGTAGTTTTTCAATACACAGAGGAAATAGTGATAAACTAGCCTCAAAGGAGAACCAGGAAATTGTACGGTGCTGCAAGAGGCTTAGCAAACAATTATCCATAAAAGATTACAAAATTCATCCTATTGGATGACTAACCAAAAAGAAGAACAAAAGAAAATCACTCGGAGGGTTTATCTTTCCCATCATCATTGTTGGTGGCTTCGTCAAGGGGAGCATTAGGATTTGGCTCATCAGGAGGATTAGCTTCAACTTCTTCCAGATCCACAAGGCGACAATCCTAAACCACCTTGAAGTAGTACACCTCAGATAAGTCTAACTCGGGGTGAAGGCATAACACTTGTTATTTAGCTCTTTCAAAGGCCTCGTCACCAGCAGAGAGATCGTCCACTTGAGATTTTTTAAGATCCTTCTGAAGCCCGTCGTTTGAATCCTTAGCTGCTTTCACTTCCTCTGTAAGACGGGCGATAGAGATTTGACTTTGTGACTCCAAATTTCCCTATGTTGCTTCTCTTCAGCGAAACTCTTTTCCAGACCAGATATCTTCTCGAACTGAACTTTTTGGGCATCCTTCAGCTGGGTGATTTCTTCCTTGAGCTTTTGTTCAGTCTTCTCATAAGCTTCTCCAAATTCAAACAGACCTCAGGTTAGGATGACACATCTCATAAGGTAGAAACTGATATTATGGGTCATCTTTTGATGACCGATAATATTCACCTTGTTGACATCCTCTGTGGCATCAAGATGACTATAGAGGAACCAGATCCCATCAAAACTATTTGACCAGAATTTGAACTCCCTGGATAGTTTAGAAGGACTTTCCCCGGTCTCTTGCATTAGGGAAGTGGTATCCTATTCCACTTTGCAAACCTCATCATCCATCAAAGTCTTCATCTTCTTTGGAGAGCCTTGGTGAAGGTTTTCCCGGAGAGAAGGAGCGAGAGATTGAGGCTCGGTAGCAACCTTAGTAATTTACTTCTTTTTTAGTGTCTAGGTATCAAGCCCAGAAATATTAGGTTTTGCTAGGGACGATCCTCCAGTTCCCCTCCGAGTAGCACGAGCTTCCATCATCAATTTCTTTCTCTTTCGCTGACAAATCAGTTATTTTGTCTGCAGTATAAATAAGAATGGAATAAAAGAACGTTTAAACTAAAACACAATTGCTAAAGGATAAGAATAATCTTTATCAAGAAATTAAGGGACTTGCTTGTCGGATAAGAGTAGTAGGTCCTGGACCTTCATCACTCGGAAGGAGTCGAGTACGATTAGGGATTAGATTTCCGATTCACCCTGTTTGTCATAATCAAAACTATAAATCGGAAGTGGATCCCTGGTCTAGTAAAGAGGAAAACGATTATACTCGTCTAAAGCATACAACACTTGGGGACACCTCGGCCCACCTCTAATGCGGGAAAACTGGTATTTAAAACCCTTATAATTGGTAGTGTATGCCTGGAGAAAGATTTTGTGGGGAGTGCCACTAATCTAGATCCAGCCACCCTTCTCTATGGAACCTAATGAGGAAGAGTTGGAGTCAGAATCGATTATAGAAGTTAAAATATCACCATAAACTTCTTTTATGGCACGATTGAAGTCCTCCCGACCTAGGTTATCCTTAATCTCTCGTGCACATTCATTCCACATATCTTTTCGTTCCTCAACATTTTGGGGTTTTAATATGTTACCTTCATTATCACACTCCCTAACGATTACCATAACATATAAGAAAGTTTGAGGAATGCAGAGAATAAAAGAAATATGTGAAAGGAAAAAGGAAGGTACATGTGAATACCAAAGCTTTAAAGATCAGAAGGTTTTTGATGAGGAGGGTTGCTCGAACGTTACGAATGAGTTAATGTGATGAAAAAAAGGAAAGGGGGAAAAAGAAGGGGTTTTAAAGGAAAGGGCTCATCTAAATAGTAGAATGGAATATGAATGATTATGGGCATCAATTCCCCATAAAAATTACATTATTGCTGGAGGAGAGAGAAAAATCACTCAAAAGTCATGACCTTCCGCTTAAGGCGTCTGTGCGCATCAAGCGAGTCGAGTTAAAACAAGAAAAAGACGGATGACCGGTCTCACTACCCGAGCCAAAGGGTAAAGTATCGGGCTTTCGCTATCCGAACACTTCACTCTCGCGGATTTCGTGATCGGGGGCCTTATGTACATCCCAGAATACTTTATCTACGTTGGGGTGTAAACTCAGAGCGCCAAGAAGCTGGGAGGTAACATGTGAAGACGAGTTTATAAGGGAGTTAGCCGATTACCTACTCGGGTAGGAAGATAGTGAGCCTTATAAGCTGAGTACTCCCTAGTTCAGGGCCAGAGATGTCACTCATCCGGGTATGTGCTCGCCCCATCGAGAACCCCTCACATGAAGTCATCCCTAGGTATAATTGTAACGACAACCGACTAATTAATGTAGACGTTATAACACCTTGATTGCACCTAATTCATGAGAGCGACAACTCTTAGAGTGTAATGAATGAGGAAGGGGTACTAAGGATCTCCCATTTAAGAGCAGAGAAAGGATATAAAGGGAGCCTTGGCCGATGGAAATGGTCATCTAGAACATAGACAAAATAGACAAATAAAGACATAAAATCAATCCTCTACGGCTCTCCTTGACCTATAATAATGAAGTCACTCTTTTAGTATTTTTAGCATATATATATATAATAAAATATATAATAAAATATTCCAACCGTTTTAATAAAAGTAGATGTTAGTGTTGGTCTTCTCTAAATGACAAAAACTCTCCTACAAAATTAAAACTAGTTGTTAGATAGATGGGGCTATATGCCAAAGATTGGAATTTAATCTACTATGCAAGTTTTATATTCTCAAAAAAAAATTAATTGCTACAAATAGGAAATTAAATCGTTTAGTGAGTGAGTAGAAAGGAATTTGAAGTCAATCCACTTGCTATTTTATTTTAGTAAATGTTCAATATCAATCTATCTAAGTAGAACAACTATAATAACTTAACAGTCTAAAGCAAAAGTGAGGTACTATTACTATACATAATTAAGTCTCTTCTTGTGTATATCTCTACATTACCATTTTTTTTTTTGGTATGATACATTACCATCTTTGATCCACTCAAAATTATACATACACATACGTGTATTAGGGTATGTATATTAATATACGCCAGTTTGCAAAAATTATTACCGGTATAATAACGTGTCCTGTGATATGGTGACAGCTATAGCAAAGTTCTGCAATGGCAATAAATTTCATTTACCATGCTCAACTACCCTCTCACCAATCAGGTCTTAGTATTTTCCCTATAAAATGATACTTCCCCAACCACACTTCGCCACACAACTACTTAGGGTAAGAGAAAGTGAGTGAGTGCAGTTACTATATAATATATACATTCCTAGGAAGTGGGAGAGAGAAAGAGATGACTAAGTGGTGTATGTTTTTGTTGGTTCTTGCTCTTGTTGTTGCAGCTACAACTAGTGCAAGAGATGTACCAAGTGATGCTGGTCTTAAGGACCAGAAAAACCTTGTGACATATGGTGGTGGTTTTTATGGATTAGGAAACAACGGAATACCTTTCGGTGGAATTGGAGGTGGTATAGGTGGTGATTTAGGTGGTGGTGGAGGTGCTGGCTTAGGTGGTTTAGGAGGCTTAGGTGGTTTAGGAGGATTAGGTGGTGGTGGACTTGGAACTGGTATAGGTGGTGGTGGACTTGGAACTGGTGTCGCTGGTGGAAATGGTGTTCTTCCTTTCCCTTAAGATGATTCAACAAAACTTGCATGGTTTTTTTCTTTGTTTCTATGAATTTGTTACTCTTTACCTTTCAGTGTATGTGTGTATGTGTATGTGTTAGCTTACCGTTTAAGCATTCTTCAACCTAGCTAGCATTTCCTGTTTATTAATTATTAGTATTATTAAAAATTAGTACTATAGTATGTCTTGTAAGTTGTAATGTTGTCTTTTTGCAAGTAATGCAAGCAATTTATGAGTTTAATTTTGTATTACTTTTAATGTTTTTTCTCGTTATAATAATGGCTAAAATATTATAATGTAAAATATCTTTCACAAAATTATTTTTTAAACTTATTTATTTTATCTGCACTTTACATTTTTAGTCATTTATATTTCAACACATTTACTTTCCTGATCTTTAACTTCAATTGTTATTTTATTGCATTTATTTACTTTCCTTATCAATCAAACCTTCAAATATTTTTATAACAAAATTCCACCTTTAAACCAAATCTAATTCTAAGATATTTTCTTTACCTTCTCTTGAAATATGTCAATATTCTAATAAAGAAATGAATTTGAAAAATTTTCGTAAGTCCTTGATGTTGAGTAATCAAAAATAAATATTTGTTTTATTGTATCCACGGGGACGGGTGCGATATCAATGTCGTTCAACAGTTACTATGATTTTAAGCGGAAGTTTGCAAGATATTTGATTATAGAAAGTTACGGAATATAAAACGGATAAATGATAATAAAATTTCAGAGATATCAGAACTTGTCAGGATTGAATTTCATCCATCGATAGAATATGCAATTTACTAATCAATTATATACAATCTAAATAGTCCTCAATATCATCACGTATCTCTTACAACAGAGTTTATGTCTAAACTTCTGATGAGGTTTTTACCTTATTGTTTAATCGACGATCTCAGCCTATTCAACAATACAACAACATTAAGAATCAGTACATTATCTGAATGTTAAACTAAATATATGTCTAGAATTTAGAATCTAACAGATGTTCGTCTTAGATCAAGATCCAAATCGTATTTTTTAATATCAATTCAAATCTATAAAATTAAACAATGAAACAAAGATAACATCGATATCAATTAGTAAATAGATTGCATATAACACCATGATCAATAAAAATAGATATTGTTGCGATGAACTATATTCAATCCCAACAAGAAAGGGATTTAGCTACACATGGTAGCTTGATACAAATAAAAGAATGAAGATGAACGTGCATCAATCATGATTTCCCGACGATTGATACGAATCCAACTTCTAATCTTCAAGAAGCACTTTTTTCTGTTGTTTTCTAAGTTTATCTCTCTCTCCAAAATGTAATATCTATCTAAAAAATCTGAAGTAGAAAACTATTTATACAAAGCTGAAAAAAGTGAAGGGCGCTCAACCCTAGATTTGGCGCTCACCGCAGCTACCAGACAAACAACTTAAATTGCCATAAATGAGGCTCAATACGGAATTTGGGGTTTAGCGCGAAAGTATTTGGTTTTTGGGGCTTAGCCCCGTCTGCAGGATTGCTTTGCTCTAAAAAATGCATGTTGAAGCCAAATCTTTGTCTTTTGATGACCAAACCTCCTCCTATGAATACATACCTACAAAATGAGTTAGAATTGAGTAAACTACAAAATATTTACATGATAATCTACTAAAGCTAGTATTACATAAAAGTTAAGGTTTTGACTTATGAATCCAAATAATCAAGCTAATAAATATCGTTTTTTCATACAAATATTCACCATAATTTGAAACTTATTAACTCTCTCCAACTTAGAACTTTATTCTTCCTCAAACAAAAGTCTTACAAACCTAAAGAAACAAGAGCAACTACCAAAAAATTTCAATATCAACAAATTTTGAAAAAAGATAACAAATGCATGGTTCAAACTTTTTGAAACACAAGCAAAATTATATTTACCACTATCCTAGAATCAAACAATTATCATGAAACAAATTCTATACACAAAACTCATGTCAAACATTCCAATGCAACACATGTTAAATTATAAATCACACTTAGCATACAACTTCGACAATAGATAAATAACAAAAATGAGGGACTTGACTCACACCCAACAATCTTGCTAACATCTTGATCAAATTATGAACTCATCCAAACAAATCATATTGAAAGTATAAAAGCACAAATCACAAAGGAATTTCAAGAGTTGTAATGTGATTTGGTTAACAAAGTAATATCATATCTAAAAGTATTTGAAACAAAGTTGTCAAAATCATGAAGAGCATTCATTTCTAAAATTTTCAAGTATTCACAACTTTATTTACCTTTCAATTTTCTTAAGTGAAACACCTTTGATCATATTGCTTGGCACAAAGTGGTTGCCACTTTTTCTTTCATTTTTTTCTTCTTTTCCTATTCCGTTTTTCACATTTTTATTTCTTTTTCAAAATTTTTCTTTTTCAATTTCTTAGAAACTCACCTTTTTCTCCCCAACTTGCATAAAACCAATATTGTAACATGAATTCTCTTACTTTCTAAGACAAGGGATAAATTTCCAACCACGAATGATGGTTAATGGTTTAGTTGGTTCAAGAAACAAATTCAGAATCCATTCAGAAAATGATGAACTAATTCTTTAAATACAAATTTCTCAGTTCAAAACTGATGCGGATCCTGACACTAAGGCTCAAAGGGGTTAATGAATTTCAGGCCACTCATAAGGTAGGTCACTTTTGGTCAAGTGGTTGTGCTCAAATTCAAAAAAAAAATTGTCTTGATTATTTTCATGCTTTCATACAATTAAACGCAAATGCAAGATTAAACATAAGTCAACGGAGGGTTAAAATAAATAATGGTTGGTCTCCTGTGCATATAGTACAAAGTGGAAATTTTTCTCACATTTAGGCTTTGATCTAAAGTGATTCAATCATCGAACATATAGTTCAAACGAATGAAAGAATTGATGATTGTACAAAGTACACGTTTCAAATTCATGTTATGGTCTAAAAAGCAATAAACATGTATCTTGTCATTGTACCATCCTTTCAAGCTTCTATCATTACCAAAACATTTAATTGTTGATACATTCGAACTTGAACTAATCACTCAATGCTTCTTTAAGCCATTCAAAGTCAAGCTTTGGGAATAAACTCAAATATATTTTGCTAAAACTTAACAACTTGAAATTAAACTAAACTACTCTACATAACACAATTTAAACAAAACACAACTTAATTAAGACAAATCACTATAAATATGGGGTAAATGGTCCTTGAGTAAAAGTAGAATAGTGGGATGAGTAAAAATAATTTTTACTAGTATAGCAGGGAGAGCTCAGCGCCAGACTTACTGCCTGGTTTTTTCAAAATGCCACAATTTCACATGCTTTCCATCCACTTTCACTCTTTGATGCCTAAACTACTAAATGCAAAGATTTTAAATACTTATAAAGTTGGGTTTCCTCCTAACAAGCATTTGTTTAATATCGTTATCTCGACACCTTTTTCAAGTAGATGCTCCCTCTTATTACTTCTTTTGCTTGACTAGTTGTTTGTGCTTCCTGGTTTTGTTGTTATTCCTTCACCGGCAGTTCTTTCAATCTCTGGATCAAAGAGTTATTATTCTGCGTGTTTTTCTTCAAAGCGTAAATAGAAAGCAAGTATCCTAATGAAACACATAAACAAACGTGATAGAAAACAAGTATATGTACAACATTGATAAATGTAAAAAGCTTAAAAAGATAGAAACATTACTAATGTGATACTTTAGTATCTAAACGTCAGTCTCCAACAACGAAGCCATTTTGATGTTGAGTAATAAAAAATAAGTATTTGTTTTATCGTATCCACAAGGACTAGTGTGATATCAATGTGGTTTAATAGTTACTATGATTTTAAGTGGAAGTTTGCAATATGTTTGATTATGGAAAGTTACAGAATGTAAAATGGATGAACGATAAATAAAGTTTCAGAGATATGAGAACTTGTTAGGATTGAATTCATCCACCGATAGAATATGAAATTTACCAATCAGTTATACACAATCTAAACATTCATCAATAACGTCTTGTATCGCTCACAACACAGTTTATGTCTAAGCTTCTGATGAGGTTTCTACCTTATTGTTTAATCGACGATCTCTCAGCCTATTCAACAATACAGAAACATTAAGAGTCGATACTTTCTATGAATGTTAAACTAAATATATGTCTATAATTTAGAATCTAACAGATGTTCATCTTAGATCAAGATTCAAACCATTCAAATCTATAAATTTAAACAGTGAAACAAAGATAGCATCGATATTAATTAATAAATAGATTACATATAGCACCATGATCAATAAAATAGATATTGTTACGGTGAACTACATCCAATCCCAATAAGAAATTGATTTAGCTACTCATGGTAGCTTAATACAAAGATAAGAATAAATATGAACATACATCAATCCTGATTTCTCGATGATTGATGCGAACCCAGCTTTTGATCTTCAAGAAGCACCATTTCCTATTGTTTTCTAAGTTTATCTCTATCTCTCTCCAAAATGTAATATCTATGTAAAAATCTGAAGTGGAAAGCTGAAAAAGTGAATGGCGCTCAACCTTAGATTTGGCGCTCAGTGCAGCTACAAGACAAACAACTTAAACCGCCATAAATGGGGCTCAACGTGGAATTTTGGGCTCAGTGTGGAATTTGGGGCTCGGGAAAAAAGTCTTTGATTTTTAGGCTTTAATGGGGCTCAGCCCCGTCTGCAGGATTGCTTTGCTCCAAAAAATACACGTTGAAGCCATATATTTGTCTTTTGATGGCCAAAGTTCATATTATGCATACATATCTACAAAACGAGTTAAAATTTATTAAACTACTCAATATTTACTTAATAATCTACTAAATCTAGTATTTACATAAAATTTGAGGTTTTGACTTACGAATCCAAAGAATCAAGCTAATAAGTGTCATTTTTTAATATAAATATTCACCATAATTTGGCACTTATCAGTTCCACATTGTTAGAAAAAATAAGTGTG